TTACACACGTTTAACATCGACCAACCAAACCGGTTTAAATCAGACGAACACACGAACCAGGTTTATCCACGGTTCAAACCTGTTTAACTATAACTTGAGTTTAAACCAGTTAATCTACAGTTTAAATCAGCTTCAAGATCAATCTCTCCTGTAAACTGGTTTCAAACTGGTTTCAAACCAGTTACCTTTTCTCATGGAGTCGAATCTGAGCTGAACTTCGTCTGGTCTCATCTGAAGATTCTCAAGTTTGTTGATACTGACGTCAAACTACAGAGAGAGAGAGAGAGAGAGAGAGAGACAGTTATTATTATAATTATATGAACTGTTGATGAAGAAGAAGAAGAAATACTTTATTGATTCCCCGAGGGGGAAATTCTTTTTACACTAATTTTTATTTACACACACACACACACACACACACACACACACACACACACAAAGGGCTCGGTAGAGTGATGGGCAGCCCCTGAGAAGCGCCCTGCGAGCATTTGGGGGGTTTGGTGCCTTGCTCAAGGGCACCTCGGCACCTCCCATACTTTTAGTCCATGCTGGACTTGAACCGGTGACCCTCCGGTTCCCAAGCCGAGTCTCTATGGACGGAGCTGCTGCTGCTGTTATTAATAACACATAGAACAGCTGATCCGTTAGCGTCGCAGTTTGTCAACAAAGAACCGGAGTCAGAACTGTGATGGATGCTAACAGCTGTTAGCTGCTGTTAGCTGCTGTTAGCTGCTGTTAGCTGCTGTCAGCTGCTGTCAGCTGCTGTCAGCTGCCACAGTGTAAACAAGTTAAAATAGCAGCTCAGTGGGACAAAGGCTGCAGCAGCTGCCGCTAATAAAGCCCCAGCAGCCAAAGGACAAGTCTCCGCCTGAGACATGAGACACTGAAGTGTTGTCCTTCATGTGAAGGGACAAAGGACAGAGGACACTTTACTGCAGCACGAGAGGGGTCAGAGGTCACAGGTCAAATAGTTTGTATTTATCTGATAAATCAAAGCAGTTTATTTATTCACTCACACACACACACTCACACACACACTCACACACACACACACACTCACTCACTCACACACACACACACACACTCACACACACACACGATTTTTGTCTGCTAACATGGGGGAGGCAGGGTTTATATATTTAAATAAGCTGTTCTGCAGGCAGCCACCAGGGGGCTGGTCTTTGTTTCCCTGTGACCCTTGACCCTCATGTTTCCAGATGTTTCTCACCTCCAGCGCTCGGTGGTAAAAGTCTGACGCCATCATCAGGACTTCCTGTCGTCTGTGGAGCAGGTGAAGGAGGAGCGACCATCCCTCGCTCAGCGACGCCCCCATCGCCTCCTTCAGCTCCATCTCCTCTTCATCCCTCCTCTTCACCGATGACAGCGCTTCGCTCTCGTGTTTCTGGAACAAACAGAATTTAAATCACATCAGGTTGAAAGTGTTTCATCAAAGACGTGAACTGAATGAAGCATAAACCTGTTTATCATCATCATCCTCATTTAGTTCTCAGATTCTCAGCTCAATGTTTCTTCGTTTCTCTAAACGTTCTGATGATCTTCACTGAATGAAACGTTTTTCCATGAGCTCGTTAAACAAATAAAAACATAAAAATATAAACATTGGAAAAGTTCTCGTCCAACGTTAAGTTCATAAAGTTTGTCTCATGCCTGACTGAACGCAGCAGCAGACCCGCCTCCAGACAAGAGTTTTAACTCGTTCACAACTACGAGGACGTGGCTCTGCTAACCATGTTATATTCATGAGGTTAGGATACAGCGCCCCCTACAGTTCTAGGAGAATACTTCTGTGATTCTGTGAGGAGAAGCCGTCGTTTCGTTTCGTCTGTAAACTGAACTTTTCTGTCGTCATCGGTGACACAACTGAAACTAACAAAAACACCAGAAGAAGAAAAACTTCTCAACAATCCAAAAGCAACCTCCCCCTACAGGTGAGTCGGTGGCAGAGCGGCTGGGAGACGTGGGATCACCTGGAGTTTGTGGATCAGCTGCTGCTGCTCCTGGATCAGTTTCTGATTCTCCTCTTGGTTCCATCCGATCTCACAGAGGCCCGGGTGAACCTGGACCAGCTGGAGGTGGACCAGAGAGCCGCTCTGCACACACACACACACACACACACACACA